GTCTGGTTCAGTCGAAGAAACCTAATCAAACGCCTTCATAGCGAGTGGCGTTGAAGGTCAGGTAGGCCAGCACCATGAGATTTCTGTTATGGGGCCAAGCTGACTTACTACGACCGAGAGAGCTGCTCTTTGAGAGTTAATGTATAGGCGCCGTTAAAACTGGGCAGATAGGGTGTGCACATGTTTCGCTGCACCCACAGAGTTCCCACAACTGGACTGCGAGTCATTCCAATAGTGAAGGAATAATAATTTCGGAAGTGCTCGCCAAGCCATAGAAGGGCTAGCAGGTGAATACACTTGATAGTTTGGGTGGGATACTTAGTTGAAGATTAAATTATGCTGGCGTGCACGGGCTTGCAAATAAAAGATGAATTCCACGATTCAACCGTTAGATGAGGGGATAGCATAAGCCGTTTCGCTGCGTCATATCCTGAAAGGGTTATGGCTACACCGGCCACGTCATCGTTGGCAGGTCGGCCCGCTGCGCCCGCTCGGAATGCCCCCATAAACAGACAGGTATGAAATATTATTATTTAGCCCCTTTTCCTACCACTTCTGCGGGAAATAGTACAAAGGAAAGGAGGCAGGGAGGTTAACCGGATAGTAGTCTGGTGTCTACCTTACGTTGGGAGAGGAGGGTAACGGTAATGGAAATATGAGAGAGACAGAGAGAGAGGAGCAAAAAAAAAGAAACGTTCAATAATGCGCTGACATGTATGTAATGGTGACACTTCACAATAGTCACAGGCGTTCACAAAGGCCTGTTATCCTTAAAAACACTAAAGTACTTTAATTGCCTTGCGGGACATCGAGCAATGTGGATGGTGTTCCAGCAGCATCTGCGCGGAGATGGGCCGGTCATGCATTCGCTTCATTGCGGGCTTCCCTGATTACTGCAACATATTGCTAATGTAAATCATTACGTAAAGTGGAGAGTAAACTTTGGAGAGTTGCTTTGCAATTAAAAATGATAGGCCATAAATTAGGTGTTTATTTGATGATACAATGGAGAGCATTCCTGACGGCTAATAGTTCAGCAGCTGCGTTTGATGTCAAGTGAAACACTTTAGGTTAATTTTTGGCAGAGATTGCTAGAATTACTGCCATGAAAGTTAGACTAATAGTCGTAGATAAACCGTCAGTGTATGTGTGGGTGCGACCTCTGTGCACTTGTAAGCTTAATCGGGTTGGAAGTAACCTAACCTTGTAAAGGGACAGCTGACTCGTCTTTCCGTCAAACTGTACGGTGAACCTGTACGCAGTATATACCGTCGTCCTTCTACGGTGGTGCCTATATGAGAACATCTGATGTTAAAGCGGGCACCTTTGGCAGCACGTGCCACAGGTTATGGGCAGTACACCAATTCTGCCACAGCATTTGTGCTGCATTTTGCTGTTCTCATTTGTCTCGATATGGGCGATTATTCGCTATATGCAAACGTATGACTGTACTCGCATCAATTGTGGAAAAATCCTTGGGTAGGGTGTGTCACTGGGGGTAGGATTTCGAAAAGCCGTTGTGTCTTCTTCAAGGCAGTTGTCTTCAAAGATTTTTTTCACACCTCTTGAAGTCTTCATGTGAAGTAATGAACTTCTGTCTTGTTTTCACACGAATATCGCTTACTGTCATACCTATAAACTAGGGCTGATGTTCATAAAAAGTCACAGCTTTGCCTGCAAAGGCGAAACAATTAACGCGATAGCAACAAATTTGAAGGTAACGCGCAGAACGGCAAGCATATTGAAACGTGCCCCGCGTTTCTAATGCACAAATGACGCACAAATGACGCGCAAATGACGCACAAAACGTACTCACAAGTACAGATGAACGCGCATAAGCGTCTCAGTTGTTACTTCGCCCTGTCTGAAAAGCGCGCCCTTTTCGCAAACGAAGGATGTGCAACGTACGATTGCAATGACCTTTGTGTGCCCGATAACTACAACAGAATGCGTACGAGGTGTACGATCCTCCCGACTACAAGATATGGGTGCGCGATTGGGCGTACCCCCCCTGTATTTCTACGTGGGCCAAAGTACGCGTGAGAGATGAGAGACGCCGCGCGTTCACTGCGCCATCTTGCTGATAATGCTGAAAACACTATAGTTCCCCCACAGAGGTAAGTAGTAGATATAAATAGCTTGCCGCTTGTACGTACAAAGATGTACCCAACGATAGCTCAGTGGTGAACGCCTCGAATTCACGACGCGGAGGTCCCACGTTCGATTCCGCGCGCCGTAGTGTGCTTGATGGATTTTTTTATACGGTGCATGAAATTGACTCCGACGTCCGACGCCGGCGGCGAAATCCAACCGAGAGTGTCCATATAACTTGCCATCGCAATAAAGTTGTCCTTACGATTGTAATCATTCTAAAGACATGGTTCAAAGCTGATGCTGAGGGGGAGGAAGGGGAACGGTAAACGAAAGGCGAAAAACTCAACGAGCACCGAGTCTGTTTGACTACCCTGTATTGGGAGAGGGGAGGGGAAAGTTCAATTGGAAGATAAATAGAAGGGACAGTTAAGGTTTTGTTTCTGCTCGTTACAAAGTTCACCATCGATGCCGCCGACGCAGTAACAGTTCCTTGTTCGATGTCTTAGCCGTTCAGTTAACCTGGTAGCAGTCAAAAATCTTCGGAAATCGCTGCAGGCACTATGGCCACCTATTGTTGCGGTGGTGCGCAAGTCCCGAGTTCATGACGTGTCATTAGTGACAGCGGCCGACCAGTGGGCTACACACACCTGCCAATGGAAACGTGCGCGAACCTGGTTCCAATTTATTTCTATGCTTCACAAATGCGCACGCACGCACGCATACACACACATACACACACAAACAAACACAAAAAAACAACCAAACAAACACAAGTGTGCAAAAGTAAACACTTCCGGTGGGCGAAGGCACCGACTGCAGCCAAGGACGTACAGCACTGGAGAGGTTTCTGTTCAGTGGTATCGTAATTGTGTGTGCGCTGCACTTGATAGGTTGCTCATGTGGCGACAGCTACTGCCGTTTGTGCGTTGTGCATTTACCTAAACTTGCGGTAGTGGCAGAACCATGTTTGTTTATTGTCCCGAGAAATGGAAGAATATTAAATGCTTTCTTTAAAGGGCAGAAAAGTTAGCTTTGAAGTCTCTGAGATGTAATTTATTGAAGGAGATTGGCGATGTTATACGTGCAGAACACTGTTACGCGAATAAGAAGCAATATTTTGTTGAAAGGTGAGCCACAATTTGTCAGTTCAAGGTTCGAGAATTTTTTCGCTGTATGCCGTGCGCTTAATTTCCAGCGAAAGTACTTGTCCCCATTCGTACGGACAACGTGGATGTACAAACCTGATATCAATTTCAAACATTGAAAAATAACTAGCGTATCTTTAGTAGTTTTCAGGTTTTTACCACCTGTGTTGTCGCCTATACACGTAAGGTGCTGTATAAACTTTTGCTTTTGACCCAAACGCGACCTTTTTGGGTGATCATCGAACTTGTGTTTTCAAGTCATTGCTGTTGGCAAATCAGTGAGTCAAAATTAATACCCAATATTTTTTTCTATAGCATGTCTTGTTAAAAAAAAACTCTTCAAAGGATTAGTCCAAGCGTGATTCACTAAACATTTGTATTGAATGACAGCAAGACTCGGCAAAATGCATGTATAGCCATTAACATGCGCGTGCACTAAACACAAGCGAAAAATGTTGTTAATTTCTTCCTGCATGCAAACATTTTATAACGTGTTTCTATTGATGATCACAGAATAACATTGAGACAATAAGCCAAAATGTCCAAGCAGGGATCACTTGATTACGAAGTCTCCGAACAACGCTTTTTGGTGAAATACTTTCAATTTAGAAGTTCGGAATTCGAAAAAAAAAGCAAGAGGAAATGAAAAACCAGAACAATATATAGCAGTGCATAGGTGGCCGAATTCACAAAAGATGGCTTTCGCAAGTGCGTCTCCCCTTAGTCAGACGGCCTCAGCCCGCATTGTGATTGGCTGGAACTTTATGTAACTAATTGATTGACATGATTGATATATGTAGTTTAGCGTCCCAAAACTACCATATGATTATGAGAGACGCCGCAGTGGAGGGCTCCGGAAATTTTGACCTCCTGGTGTTTTTTAACGTGCATCCAAATTTGAGCAGACGAGCCTACAACATTTCCGCCTCCATCGGAAATTTATGTAACTAAAATGTTTAGGTAAGACGTTCTAAGGAATACAAGCCAATGTTTTTAATAGAAGTGTAGGTACAACAGCCCAGAAAAATATTGTCTCCGGGAAGGGTGATCAGGTTTTTCAAACCACCTGTAGCACCGTGATGTACGGAAAGTTCACTAGCAAAGACCCTTCATATGTGTGGGGCTTCCGTGCGACCGCATTCTTTAGAACTAGTGCAGTGATAGAAGTTCGTGACGATGTTCCTATCTGTGAGGAACGGTTACGGCGAGCTAACAAATCCGGTTTATGAAGCTCGTGCTAACCGGTGTCTGACAAAGGTGTCTGAAAGTTCATCTCGCCCACAACTTTTTTCGCTCTCTCCTACTAGACAGAGTGCACTGAAAAAATTATCACGAGCAGCGATTTGCGAAAGACGATGAGCTGTAAACTGCCGTCATTTGTAAGTAAAATAGTTACAGCCCTGAAGTACAAAAACTAGAACTTCAAGTAAAGCAGAAGCATTGTTCACTGGCACAATATCACACGTTCCTTCCCACTGTTTATTTACAATGGCGCACCAAGCAAATACTGTTTCGTTATTTATCAACAAAACCTGCTCACCGCAGCACCTTGGGTTAGATATACTATCCAGAACCTTCTTATATGTGCTGTTGGTAAACTTATAGATCTTGGTCTCTGGAAGCACGTAGTTGAATCTACAGACTCTACTAACGTACTTGCTGTCAAGCTCCTCTCAATCTATTAATTTCTTTGAAAATCTTCCCTCAATTTAAAGACCTATTCAAATGAAATGCCGTACGAGTATTCGATTTAGTACTCACTCGTCCACGGTATAGTCAGCGTTGGTGGTGACCATGGCGCAGCACAGCAGGACCAAAGCAAGGGCGGCCAGGAACTTGCACTGGGTAGTGGTGACCATCTCTGGCGTCGAGGTCGCTGCAACCGGTGGTTGGAAGAGGACAAGGCTGCGCCTGCGTCAACGGAGAAGGGCCGTCCCGAACTGGTTGGCGAAGTCTCGACTTTCTCAGTGGAGTGATGAGGTGGAGAGCAGTAAGAGAATGCCTCTTCAACTGTATGGCGTGTACAATTGCAAACAACCGCGTGCCCTAAACTCGCGATCGGCGCCCCGCTTTATAACGAACGCGCGCTCCTCACCCCTTCCTCGATCGCCTCCGCGAACGCGGGCGCGACGCGCGTCCTTCTCGCCCTCGCCGCCGCGCTTCACGCTTGACCAATCTGACGAAGCGGAGGCCGAGTGACGTAGCACCATCCTTTCTCAACCTTCGCTCGAACGTGCACGCACGAGCGCCCTTCTCTCTCCCGCGCGTGCCTGCGTGTCTCGGAGCATTTCCTCGCAGCTTAGAATTAAGAGGAGGATGAAAGGAGCGTAAGGATAAAGGGGAGCGGAACGAGGAGGAGAGATGTTCGTCGCTCCTCGTGTCTCGATTCGCCTCCTTCCATCCGCATTGTTTTTTACTCGCCTGTTGCCTTCCCTTCCTAAACGTCTCTTTTTCCTTCGCTGTGTCTAACGCCGTTTGGTAGCTGTAGCTTTGCACTCGTTTAAGCAAACGTGCCCCACTCTTTTTTGTTAGCTTGTTTGTACGCTAGCTTGTCTTATTTGTCGTTCTTCTGGGGGTGTCGAATGGGGATTTAGGTGACGACGCTGATTTGTAGGCACAAAACGTGCGCTGGGAGTTGTAAACGCCGCAGACGAATTCGGAGATGGAACGCGAAACGAGTCACGTGAACGGGATGTCGCGTCGCGTCGGGTCATGAAGGTGCGTTGAAGGCCGAGCTGGACGAATTAAGCGATTCAGGAGCCGGGGCGTAGCTGCATTACAGAGGGTACATTTTGGTTATATATACTTCATGTATTTTACAAAACAAATAACGATATATGGGTTGACACTGTTGTGCCTTGTTACCAACGGCTTATATTGCGTCGATGTGTTCTGCGGTATCTGTAGCACCGCGGGAAAACTACGATAGCAGTGAAGTCAACATTCATAGCTTTTGAACTGCTCAAATCTTTTTCTTCTTTAATTTAAAAGCTATATCGTTATTGAAGTATGAGAAAGTGGAAGTCGGATAGTAAGTTTCTGTATCGTGCAAAAATGCCTGTGCTTAAGTTTTATTGTAGCTAGTTAAAAACACATCTAAGGGACAAACACTATTTTCATGACAGCACCTTGAATGGGCGCGCAATCAATTACTGCACGCACGTTATAAAACCAAGAATAAGTAGAAGCACTGAGGAAAAACATTACTGTCACGCACCCAATGTGGCACTGCTTCAACATCTCCTTTCACAATGTTTACGTTGAATTCCTGTAAAATACTGTGCTCTATATTTCAGAAAGAGTCGATCTTGCACAAAGCAACGCGCACCAATAAATAGCTGTTATTAAGAGCAGCGATGACCAACATACCAGTAATTTAGAGGTTGTAATCCTTGCTAAGCTGTGGTTAATTTGCAATAATACTTTGCTTTTATCACACGAAACCAGACTTCTTGAGGTATTAACCGAATACGTTAATAAACCCTGATTAACAGCGCAGCAAACTATCAGTGACTGCAGTTTAACGCAATGGACGATACATTGCATTAGGTGCGACGCTTGCTTGCTACGGTCAAGCTTTTCACAGCACGAGTGAGAAGTTGAAGCGCGCCGTTACCTACGAGCACGTACTGTAGCAATGCGTTTAATCTTCGGCAGGTGCCCTCGCTGGGTGTCCTGGACACATCGCCGAGCCTTTTAGTGTACTGAAAAAGATCGCTGACCGGGCCGTTTACTAGCCCTTCTCGTTGGACTGAGGCAGGCGATGTCACGGTGAGTTGTTGCTTAACGACGCTTGGGGCCACGTTGTTTACATCCTGACGTTTGATGACATGGCTGATGGTTTTCGTGGCTTCAAAGTTGTAGCGGCCGTTGTAACGATAAAAGCGAGGGCATGCCACCAGGACTCGTACGTTGGACAAGCGTTGTCTTGATTCACTTCTAGTCCACCTTATTATTAATCCGTGGCGTTGATTGGCCCTCTTGTTGGCAACAGAGCTAGTGCCAATGACCTCGGCTTCGTCAAATATATTATTATTTTTTTTTTGTTTATCAGCCAGTCAGAGGCAGCTTGACTTGCCTATTTTTTTCCCTTTGTAGCAATATACTTTGCATAGGTTACTATAATTTTCATTAGTATTTGTTCTTGGTAATATCTTCCATAAATCTACGCTTGACGAGACAGAGAGAGAGTGAGAGGAAGGCTGGGAAATAAACCAGAAGTTATTATCGGGTATGCTACATAGGGCTGGGTGGAAGGAACATGCGAGTGTAAACAGACAGATATAGTTAAACATATAAGAAATAGGGAAAAATTAAAGTAACACAAACGCGAGCACACACACAAGTGAACGTCGCAGAGTGGAGCACTATGCCTGTAATGGTTAGAAGTAATTATTAGGAATAACAGACGATGGAGAACAAAAAATAGGATAAAATAGTAAAAAAGAATTACCCGAATGTGCAACAACAGTAATAATAAGAGCTGGGGTTTTACGTCCCAAAAGCGCGATATGATTATGAAAGACGCCGTAGTGGAGAGCTCCGAAAATTTCGACCATCCTGTGTTCTGTAACGTGCGGTGACATTGCAAAGTACACAGACCTCTTTCATATCGCCTCCATCAAAATGCATGACCGCCATAGCCGGCATCGAGGCCGCGAACTTCGAGTCAGCAGCCGAGCTGCCCAGCCATTGATTCACCACAACGTAGAGAATTTACCTCTTTTAACACATAATTCCGCACCAACTGTGGCTTGTGAGACAGCCGGAAATTTACGGTTTCGTATGTTCCGTCCTTACTATAATAATTCACAATGTGTTCGTGGCTTGCGACAGTGTTTCGTGTCAGTCTTTGGAACGATGTGTTCTTGTACGCACGCAATAAAGTTGACATAGTATAGTGAATATTGTATTATATTATAATATATTTATTTATTATTATATTACAATATATTTATCATAAAATTATAAAGAAATAATGTATTTATTTTTTGTCACATGACTTCTTCACCTGCTGATCCTGGCGATAACGTGGCAACATATCACATAACATGCTTGAAAAAAACCATTTAATTGGTTGCGTTATGTTGTACTGTTTTATTCCCTAACTGCGCACGCGCAGACTCGAGTCGGAGCCTTCATTTGCTAGTTCTTTCTTTTTCATTTTAGCACGATAATAGGTTCTACGTTCAGTAGAACTTGTTGTGCGAGGTTTCAAAACGTATACACTGTAAGCTTTCTCTGACCTTTTCAGTTTATTTCATATGATCGGGGCAAAGTGCGCCTCCTTTTAGCTTTCGGTCTACACATTGGGCTAATAATTTATTATTAATAATCTAGAGGTTACTATTAGGCAGTGCACTATACAAAAATGTTTACCGCCTAACCTGTAATGTTCTGAAAATAAATCTGCAGTTTGCACGCATGGCACGACCTCAACTTCTGTCGATGAGTGATGCCAGGGGCAACGGCTCGTTTTGTAAGTGAAGTCAGAAACGATTTCTTCACAAGCAAGAGGCACATATTGGTCGCCTTGTCGCTTCCGAAAACATTAGCGCCGCCCACTGCCGTGCACGCTGTGACAGCAATCAGGCGGTAATTATAAAACACCACGGCTCACACGTGCAGCTTCATCACACTGTTCAATCAATCACAGCAGGTATCAAACTCGGGACACATGTTCTGGCACGAACGCCGACCACTAACCACGTTGGCGTCCTTTTTTTAAATATATATAACGTGGCCTTACACTGTACACCTACGACGCGTCGTATTGTTCACATCACGTTTTACTTTATTTTGTGATCGTGCGTGGTTTGTAGAAAACTTGTGAACATTGTTCATTGCCGCGATGAGCCTGTAGAACCACGACGGCTAAAAATGAAGTTTTTACGCAAGAGTGCCGGTGTAAAAGCGTGTACGTCCATAAACTTAACGGTCAAAGCGTAAGCTTAACCATGGTACTCACTTTAACTGTGTAAGAGGCAGCTGCATCACCTGTTTCTCTCCTTGTTTATTTTCTTTCTTCTCGCACTGACTCACCTAGTGTAGAGTAGCAAACCTTTTTTTTTTTTGCCGTATTTTTTTAGCGTATAATATATATCTGACCCATGTGCCCTCACTAGTGTGTACTTCATTTATAATAAAGCACCTTTAAATTAGTCTCCTAATCTTAACAAATCGCAAGCTAAGTCTGTATTCCATAATAACAACAAGAGATCTGGGACACTTAGTTTTTGTATGAATACTGCCCTCGCAAAAATAGCGTGCTGACCCTCCTGGTTAGCCTAGGTTAGAGTAACAAATATTCACATTGATGACAATTGTTTCTAAACGCGATAGCGAAAGAGAGGCTTGACACGTAAGCAAATACTTTTAAGCTCCATTTCTTTTGCGTGTATCTGATCTAGGATGGTTGATGAATAGGACATAACGTTTGCTTAAATGCTTAACAAACCTGGACATTTTGTGTAAATGTAGAAATAGATAATATTCGAAATGAACACCAAGACAACGCTGTCACTGCGTTGTGTGTGGTTGCTCCTCCCAAGTTCCTGAGTAGCCATGATGTTTAAACTGCTTCACAGTCATGATTATCATTGCCTTCAGCAGTTAGAGTCATGGTATCAAGAAAGCACAAAATTCATTTCTTTTCTACCGTTAGCGCAAGCTATGGGTTTCTCGCAATGTATTTTCGGGGCGAAGCTTCTTGAAGTGGCACCCGTTCGTCCCTAGTCGTAGTACGTAACATGTCGTATGCTTTGACCTGCAAGATGGCGCCGGTGAGAGATTTCTCCTGTGCGTTGTTGAACAACAAAAAATTCGCAACGTGCGCGTTAACTAAAAGTCGAATTCTCCTGTCTCTCATTCCCCATTAGCAGCCATTGGCATACACATTGAGCACTATCTGA